TTCTCCACTTCCTTTTTGTCTTTTATTTCATTTGTTTACATGTTGTTGCGGGCCTGTACAATTATACCAAAGTTGAAACCGAGAAGTGTAGGTTTCTTCGCTCTGTGCACAAGACTTTTTCGGGTATTTCATGGCGTGAGGGGTTCTAGCTCCTCTAGAAATCCAATAAAAGATACGCAAATTTTTGTTACAAAGATAAATTATTCCTTGATTATTTTACTGCTTTTTTTTTAAAGAAAAATGTTATAAGTAAAACATAGTACCTAGAAATTGGCAAAAGACTATGTGAAATAAAAATACATAACTCTGCTTGCAAACTTGTGTCAACTTTGTTTGGAAAATTTGTAGTGCCACAAACCGTAGGTCTGTTTGCTTGTACCGATTTTAATGGCCAATCGAAGGTGTGGCTTGAAAAAACGAAAGATTTTGTCAAACGTGAATGCACACATCACAAAGAAAAGGCCCCCGAAAGCGGCTTACATTCTCACAAACGGATGGTTCTCATACACGCGCACCAATCGGTTGCGCTTACGTTGCACAAAGTGGCACCGTATGACGTCATCGAGCGCGAAAAAAGGAAACGAATAAAACAGAGCAAAAAGCTCGACATGATCATAAAAACCGACTGTCGTATACCCTCTCTTGCGCTCCATCGGACACAGGTTTGCTACGGCCGTCGCTGTGCGTCTAATCGATTCGTAAGACCACCCCGGGGAGCTTTGTCGGAGCAGCGTCAGCACCACCCGCGAGGACGAGAGCTTATCCGAGATCGTGACTTCTCTCTCTCTCTCTCTCTCTCTCTCTATTCGCGCTCTCGTGATTTTTCCTCTTTATCGTGAAGTGGTGTAGTAACAGCGTTGGGCGGTTTTCGGATGGCCAGTCGTTAGTGCGGGAGAACGGGTCATTGCTTTTATCAGCTGCTGTGGAGGATTGATTTTTATCTCGTTTGATTCGCTGTTAGGGACGTACTTGGTATTTTTTTTTTTTTTTTTTTGTTTTTTTTTTCAGTGAGAAACGCGGTATTTCCTTGATCCACGCGAAGTGGCTGCTTTTTTAAAAAATTAATACATGATTACGATTACTTTTCAAATCAGTGCCACTTACCATTTTTTTCAACTTTTTGAATCCATACAGCGACAAAGTTAAAACATTTCATTACGGAGGTTTACGGCTCACTGTATTTATATCTTTGAGAAAAAAGGGGGTTTAATGGAATTTTACGACAAATTTTAAACAGGCACGTTTTACCTTCTGACGACAAAACTCGATCTCTGGGTGACAATAAATGGCACCACCATCGGATATAGAGCAAACACATGTGTATACTTACCTTGCGAAACTCGAATCACGTAAATCCGACTATAAATGGTGATAAATAATAGGCTCGCTTCTCCAAGGGTTATTTTGGCTTACCACAGGTACTTGAACTCGCAGCTGCTATTAGCAAAGACTGTACATGCACGTGTACATTTCAGTGGAGATAAGGAATTAACTGGAATTTCTAAAGATAAGACGTATTTGTTGTACAAAGATCATTTTGATCAACAATTTGGCGTTTGAGTTGTTTGTGAGTGTTATTAGATGATGATATTCGAGTGATAAAATTATAGCTACAGGTGTCTGAGAATAGAGATTTTTTACGTTACACTATTTAAGTATTGGGGTTAGTTTTATTGTATAAAATACTAATATTGATGTAATTTAATTTATGTCGCTTTTTGTTCGGTTGGATCACAATATCGACGTTCATTTAAATGAATTACTGATCGGTTAAAATAATTCTTATATATAATCTCAACGTCTAAAACCACTCAATGGTATTATAATTATAGTACATTTAAAATGGTCCTACTGTCTTTAATCCTGACCCTGTCTCTGTAATGTGATAAATGGTACTTTTGACAGACCTGCAAAACCATATTTATAAATAAATCATCCTATATTTGACGTTCAAATAATCATTTATTTGAAAATAATTAATTTATTTGAGGGTACCTTGGTATTGCAACGATTTTTCATCATTTTTTAAATATATTTGTACATTATTGAAGTTGCACTCCATGCTTTGTACTGTGTCAAAGTTTTCTAATATCCTTTGTTAGTTGTATGAGATATTTCGTTGTAATAATAAAACGTTTACACTGAAAGCAATACATCAAACTGAAAGCTATAAAAACTGCCTGTAAAAATGTTTCTTTTCGACCCGTAAAAAATTTTTATACGAAGGCTTATAAAATTCACATCCGATATAACTTACGACAGCAACGTCATAAAAAAAAAAAGCAAGTACAGTTCACTCGAGATTACAGAACTTTTTCGTAACTATTACTTTGCCCCCTAATGAAAAATCCATAGCAAAGACGTGTACGGGAAACACAACAAAACAACCTACGTGCGATATCAAATGGGAGGAGAACGATGGGGGGGAATAAACTGCGCGCGTGCACCGCGATCGTGAGGCTTTTTTCTCGACCGTGCTGTTACCCCCTCCGCCCCAATCTCTCCTGGCCCTGCTCGCCATTTTTCCTGCACAAGCCTCAAGGCTCTGACGTGCGCTGTTTTTTTTTCCTGCACCGCGAGATGTTCTACTTTTACGCACACTCGCCTTCACCTGATTTTCAAATTCTTCTTCTTTTCATCCATTCTATCCTTTCGAAGTCTCCTTCTCCATCTGTAATCAACTGTTATCCACGGCGTTGCGTTAAACGGATATATATATATATTTTTTTTTATCCTTGTACCTTGATTTTTGCCGGATATCGTATCGACTCAACTTAGCATGTCCGATTAATTAACAAATGATTATTTTTTATTGAATTACAATCGATGATAACACTAGTGTTGAAAGATTACTCGTTTTGTGGTTGGTCGAGAAAAAGCGTTGTTCATTTTTTGTTTTTAACTTTGGTTGAAGTTGAACTTCATTTTTTTAGAGTATATCATCTTTGATTTTATCTGAAAAAAACCATCTCAAGAAAAAAAAAATTGGTAACACTACTACCAAACAAAATTTGCAATTGTTTTTATTTTTGGATAGTTAAAAACTATTCCAAATATCTGTCTTACCCGGCCTTTGGTACTAAATTTTTTCATTTTTCGCCAACTTCTTGCTGCAGCAAAAATTATTTTACTGACGAAAATACGAGTGAAATAGCTCTACGGAAAAAAAATATCCCCTGAATTATTCCCCATGCCACCCGGACGAAACGACCCTCTTCCTCGGTATCAACTCGCTACGTACAGGTCCGTGCATCCGTCAATTTTTCACAACAAGTTTACGAACCCTCAACCCTTCCGACAGGAAAATCTCGTTTCTCCACATTTTCTTTCTGTTCGCGGTAGAAAAAAACGCACGAAACAAAAAAATCCTAAGGACAAAGTCGATGGGAGGCTCAAGGAATAATATCGGTGATCAACTCCTCAGAGGCAAACTCGACTCCTCCTCCCTGATCATTCAGGACTCCTCTCGCACTCTACCCCCCCCCCTCTCTTATCAATGGACTTTCAATGCGGGAGCTTTTTGGAGACGAATCCCCGGTCTTACTCTCCCTTTGCCTCCTCGAGAGCGTCAGCTCTGGTCTCTAATGCTTTTCTCCTCCTTCGCCGTCGAAAACGTGATTTTGCCATTTTCTTACGTCAACGTCATTTTTATGAAGGCGTGTACGCGATTGAGTAGCCCATCTCCGGCAGAGGAGCTTTTTTCCAGTTCGCAGCTCACAAGGAGTGGGGGAAAAAAAATCGTGACGCCGAGTCGATGGCATTGATCGTATAGGGTTTTCTTTATTTTCGCGTGACCCGTGCGTGTGCATCGATTCGTTTTCGTGGAAGGTATGCGTACAGCGTGTCGTCGCCGATGTGAAAAATGATGATTCGTTCGTGTATCATCGATGTTCGCGTGTAGCCCATTCGTCTGATGTCTGTTTCGGGGAAAAAAATTGGATCGCTGTGGGAGGAGAAAAATAGGTGAGAAACGACTTGTTGTTGTTTGAAAGAATAAACGATTTTACTCACGTTGACGTCGAACGATTCTTCATTTTGCGGCGGATATTATTAAACGATACTGCGTGAGTTGGTTATTTTCTTCGATATTTTTTTGTCGTAGGTGTAACGTAAAACCATTTATTTGTTTACAATATTTGATTTTGGATCGAAAACTCGAGTGGAAAAACCTAATTTTTTTTTTTTTTTTGACAATGCGAGATCTAATCGCACCTATTTTAAGTTCCATCAAGAGATACAGAGAGTTTTAATTACATTACAAAAAAAAAGTAGGGCTATGTCAAGCTAATGCGTATCCACTTGCACTCGACTAACATCGTATATGTTCCAAATCTTTTTTTTTTAAAGCATTTTGATGTAAAGCACTGTTCCAAAACCGGATATTAACCATCTGCTTTGTTTGATCAAGTTTAATGAAAACTTATTGTCATCAGTTTAGAATATTGATTTCAAAAGTATTTACTTACTATGACGTTTGCTCATTGAATTGCCGTCAGGTTACGCAACACGTCCATTGCTAATCCAAGAATAAGAAGCAGAACTTTTACAAGCGTATCCATTAAAAGTTGGGGTTACGTTAAAATCTGTTTTCCCGACTCGTGATTCCGTCGTTGCGTTACAGATGCAAGACACTTACCATCTGATCCACCCAGAATGGGCAGTTCTAATTTGTCAAATAAAAAAAAAGAAGCTTGATTCCTTCAACAATCAGTTCATCGAATCAAACTAGCTGAAACATCGAAGCACCTGCAACTTTCTAATGGTCTCAGAACCCAATGCTCCCTCCAATTAACCCCATCCCACTCGAATGTCCGATTGCCGACCAAAGTCGTATGGAAAAAGCGCAATTTAAAGTTTACGTCCACTATTGGATTAAGCTCGCAAAAGCCGAGCAAATCCATTGTTGGCCACCTAAAACTTATGTATTTATATTCGCATCGAATGAGAAAAATCGAGTTGTATTTTATTAATGGGACGAAACTTTGATTTGCGTGTTGCAGCAAGACTGTCCGAACGGCAGGCTGACGCCGGCAAAGTTCGTCGAAATGTATAAAATGTTCTTCCCGTCGGGGAACGCCGAGGAGTTTTGCGACCACGTGTTCCGCACATTCGACATGGATAAAAACGGATACATCGATTTCAAGGTAAGAAACATCTGGATTATATCATTTTTTTTCTTCACGCAATCAAAGGTGAATGGCCTTGTTATTTGTGCCTATCTCTCAATCAGAAAAAAACCTAACGTGTATACTTGTATATCACAATACCTTGATTTTGCACACGATTTAGGTAAAGAGTTAACCACAGTAACCACAACCGTTCCGAAATTTCATCTTACTGACGCTTATTTTTTTATTCGTGTACTCCCAGAGCACATGATGCAAAAACATAACTAGAGTTTTTATTATTATTATTATTATTATTATTTTTTAAATTATTTTAACTGAGACTTTAGTGTACGTAGAACTGCAAGAGTGTATTGTTATCTAAAGATATAACATGTTTTTTATGGTTCTGCATGTGCACTGGCAAACGTCATTTGCACACCTGACCTGCATTTGCGTCCGAATAATGAATAAACTAATCAATTAGTTATTTACTTAACTGGACATCAGTGATACTTTATTCATTCAGAAGAACGTATAATGTCACTCTGTATATACATTTATATAAGCCCCATTATCACAGCTTGAACCGGCCATATCGCGCATAGATCGACTTTACGGGAAATAACTGTTGCTGTTGCCACATATTGCTCGATACTGTTCTACATAACGTAATAAAAGGTTACAGCTTTTTTTTTACTCGCACAACTAAGAAATCGTTTATATGCGATGGACAATTTTGATAGTTGGCACGGGCACATGCGAATGATTGTTTTTTTTACTTGTTTTATAAGCAGGTCGAGAGAGTCAACACAGATTTTATGATAAATTATTCAAACCTTTTGTACGTCGACCCAATGGTACGGGAGTCACGCATTTTACAAAGCTACTGCATCGACGAGAATTTACGTAATTTATTAGGATCTTTAAACTGTTATCAACACTTTATCGTGCACTCAAATTAATTTATGTATTTTTTTCTACTACCAATTGATTCGTTTATCAAAATTGAAAAAAAAAATTTCTACGCTATAAATACGGAAAATGTCCATAAATCACGTGCCTTGGTAACATTAGCGCGTGTTGGGATGCATTAAATAATGTAAATCAAAATTGCTTTTGCCCTATTTCTTGAACCGTTTGGCCTCCCTTGTGAGAACGTGGGAGGGAAAGGTTTATGTCAAACCAAAGACGTTCCATTTTTCCCCTCCATTTATTTACAGAATTTAATTATTACTGTCATGCATTTTGAAAATTTCAAGTCGATCGCACAGTCGGGATTTCATTAATTTCACTTCACGCACTCTGTGCATCAATAAACCACGAAAAAATGAAAGCAATCATTCTGGTCGAATATATATGATCGCTGTTAATGTGAAAATGACAAAAAAGAAAGGACGTTAAAAGCTACTCCCCTCGCCAACCCACGTAACTCGTTTTTCATACTTGGCACGGAAAAACCAACGTTCCGAGCGCCAACAGCTTTTCGACCAATTTGCCAGCAAGACCATTTGAGAAAACTTTGTAATCGACCCCAAGGATGGTCAGCTAAAAACATAAAAACGGCACAAAGTTGAACGGAAAAAATCCTGCGGGCTCGGAAACTTTGTCTCGGGCACTTGCCCCTACATGTAAAACCCTTCCTCGACACCTCGAACACGCCAGCTAAAAAAAAAACACTATCTACACGAACGTGGTGTTGCAAAAATAATCGTCCCGGCTCCCGCGTGTAGTTGGAAACAGAGTTGGCACGCGAAAAACCCCGCGTAAACAGCAATAAAGTGAAAAAAAAAAAAAAAACACACGCACACACATACGCCTCGCCTCGCAAGCGCCGACGGTGATGCAGGTCGGGAGGAGCAGTTCATCCCCTGCGCCACACCCCTAAAGCATGAGCCAGCGCGTTTTATGTATACGTAATTCCGCGCTTAACGCTCGCGGTCATTAATAGAGCCAAGAGAGAGAGAGAGAGGGAGAGTGAAAGGGGTGGGGGTGGATGAATTTGCCGAAGCGAATTGGGTCAAAAGCTCGTACGACGAGGCTGCGTGTGGGGAGGGGGCGTGCGAAAGGCCTTTTAACTCTCCCACCCCCCTCTCGCGCGTTCGCGGCACTCCTGTGGCGGATGCCGGGGTGTTCTTTGTACGTGTATATGGCTAGCTCGCGTTTTTCACCCCTTTCCTATACCATGCCGCTCTCGTGCATTGTTGTGCACGCGCTGGCCGGGAAGATTGATTGTGGAGTTGATTCGCGCGCGGGTATTAATTATCGCCGACCGATGGTGTTGGGAGCTCTTTTTTCTTCATTTTTTTTTTTTTTTTTCCATCCCATATTAGTTCTTGAGGGAGCTGTTGCAGGACGAATAAGACCTATAGCTTTTAAAAAGTGTACATCAGATTTATTCATCATCGATTGTTAAACCATCATCTCGAATGGAAAAATTATTGATGTACACGGGGTTTAACGTGCCTGGTGGTCTCCAGTAGTTAATAGTTGGAAGAACAGAAAAAAAACGATTTGGTGAAACAGTCGGTGCACCAGTTATTTAATTCTTTTTTAAATTATTAATACTTTTACAGTGCACTTTAACCAGCTTTATTTCGCGTCGCTTTGGACAAAGAGAAATTCTGGAAAAATCACTCTTCACGCGCTCGTAGTTAGGAACAATGGCATAAAATTAGATGCAGTGCTGTAGCTGCAGTTGCTGTATCGATCGCTACTTGCTGGACTTTTTTTTTTTATTTTATTAGTACCGTGAAACGACACCCCACAAACGCCATGCTGTCGCGCCAGAAATAAGTATAGGCTTTTTAAAAATCACATCAATTATCGAGCACGATTACACGTTCCAAAAATAGAGCCCGAGACGGAATTTCTTACCACGTAATGATACACGCTCGTACCTTGATCTTATACTATTCAAGGTTTCACCTGATGCTCGCAACGAGGCATGTAATGAGCGAACTTGTGTGCTCATACCAGGTGCTTGGATTGTAAGTGCGCCTAACTCGTGATATACTTCCCGACGCGTGTAATCGTCACTGATGATGTACACAATCTTTGACGCAACTTGAAAAAAAAAAGAGCTTTTCCACCTGACACATGTCGAAACAATTGTCTCGGCCATTTGTTTCGAGCAATGAAAAGGTCAGGGGAACTTGAACAATTTCGAGCATTGGGGCTACGTTTTCTCCTCCATGCGAATACAAGCGATGCGCGAAGGATAAATTGGAAAAACGTGGATGGTTGGCTGAGAGATTGAATTTTTCTTGGCTCTGATACCCATTAGGATCTCTCCTGAGCTTATGACGAATTGTCACCCAATAATTTAACTTTTCACAATTGTCTTCGTACTTACGATAATACATTCCTTTGACAAGCTCTGTGGGTATCGCACACATTTTGCTTTCAACGAGAATCACATATCCTGCCGTTTCAACAACAGCTTCGCTGGCAAGTTGCCAGAGACGCAATATGACAGATAATGGATATCGAATAATACGCGTATTGTGTAACAATTATGTGCGTACAGATAAGATTTTTATGAAAATACAATGGTGATCGTGAAACGATTGATCCGTTATTTGGTTGAAGTCCACACGTTTATACATACACGTCTTTGATTTTCAACAATAACGTTTTGAAATAAAATAATTAATAGGTTTACGTAACAATATCACAAACAAAAGACTTGATGATAATACAATAGATCCTAATAAAAAATGGAGCAATAACAGAGCTAAGATCTGCAATAACTCAAGAGCAGTGAAGTTAATGACAAGGCTGAAGGCAATATTAGGTACAAACACGCAGTCGCACTTGACCTATCGACCAACGAATGTACATAACGATGTTGCGTGGCTGTACGCGCAGCTTGACGCTTGTACATGTGGATTTCTATTAAACTCACAGGCTGGAGACTCACTTTACTCAATCGGCGCTCTTCATGGTATTGAGATCGCAAGTGCTGTACTTGTACTCTCTGAAATGTAATGTTAGGCTAGCTTGGTGAACTATATTTTTAAAAATATTATTTGATATTCATGAGTTCGATGGTTCGGTAATTTGTAGTTTTGGTTTTGTTTGTTTGTTTGTTTTTTTTTTTTTTTTTTTTTTACGTGATGCTCAGATTTGAAAAGTGCAAAACAACCAAATTTACTATTTACTCAACCAAACCATTTCAAAAGTGTTGGTTGATGCTCTTACAAGTAACAAGCGAAACAACTAATGCTCTTTACGGATTATTCGTATTATTATCGTATCTGTGTGGATAATGGTCGTGTGAACTTTAAAATTCAGTTTGAGAGAAAAATTTGTGTGTATTAACAGAAATACATGTGCTAAAACTTCATAGTTTTGAACCTTAAATATAGTTTAACTGTTGAATACGTGGTAACATTTTTATTTTAAAGATTATACTATTAATTTTTCATTTTTTTTCAGTTGTCAGCAAAAATGTCAAACGCATGAAATGTAATTAAAACAATGGACTTTCAAAAAATCACGTGAATCAGTAAATCCAATCAAATCTTTAGTTAAGAGACTGTTCATCACTGAGCGCTGTGAAGAAAAAAGTTAGACGAGTTGTTACCGTAAAAGCAACGTAAAGTCGCAATCAATGAATCTTAAAAATGATTGTTACCGTAGCTTCACGATGATTTTTTTTGTACCAGAAAAATTTATTTCAATTATCTATACCCGAAGCTGCGGTCATTTTTCTTTTGATTGAAGAAAATCATGATGTCAGTTTATCGAAAACGGGTCGGTAATGTAGATTCTTATCTTATTCATAACCTCAATTCATAAATAATTTTAAGTATCTTTACCTCAGTGAGGGGAAAAATGACCGTAGCTGCAGGTTAAAAAGTATACGTGGATAAGAATCATTGTTAACATTCGTTGGTTACAACGTTATCGTTGCATTTGTGGAAAAAAATTCATGAAACTTTTTTACCACATAAAAAAAATCTGTATACGTTTCAACATATTAAGTAAATTGTTAATTTAAATTGCATGGAAGTTGCAACTTTAGTTATTAATTG